GGCGCTGACCGGGCGCTCTCCCCGGCAGAGCCTGCCCCTCAACCCCAAGCCCTTCCTGAACGGGCTGACGGGGAAGCCGGTGATGGTGAAGCTGAAGTGGGGGATGGAGTACAAGGGCTACCTCGTCTCCGTCGACGGCTACATGAACATGCAGGTGAGGGCCGGCGGCGGCGGGAGGGGCTCGGGGCCCCCGCTGAGGTGCCCCGGGCGGGGGTGGCGGCAAAGCGGGGCGCTTCTAAAGGGTCGGCGATGGGCGCTGTGCCGGGGGGGAGCGGGGCGAAACCGCCGTGCGGAGCCGCTTGTGTGGTAACCCTTCTGAGCTGTGCTGGTTTTCTTCTCAAGCTTGCGAACACAGAGGAGTACATAGACGGTGCGTTGTCTGGACACCTGGGTGAAGTTTTGATAAGGTAAATAGGATATTTATGGCAGAGGCAGGGTTTCTTTAAACCTTCTCGTCGCTTGCGTTAAAACTTGTATTGCTAGGTGCCCTGTTTCTTGTCTAACTAAGATGCAAAGTGTTAATGTAACTCTTACGTGAAGGCTATAAGATCCCTTCTGAGGGGCGGAAAAATGAATTTTGAAATACTTGGAAAGAAGTATTTACGATCCCTATTTCAGGTAACTAAATACCTTAGTTTTCCACGTTATTGTAGAGCTATTAATCCCTTGGCATTAGTAGAGTATGTTAGTGTATGGCTACTGAAAACATTTTGCATGCTTGGACATTTATACTTGACCACAACTGTTAACCTAAGAGTAAAAACTTCTTGTACAGCATTGCCAACCAGTTACTGCTTTTCTAAACTTGGGGGTTTTGCAGTTGTTATGAACTTTGTGGAAAGCTGTACGAGGTCAACAGCAGTGATTTGTTACGCAGAATTTGGCTGTTGCCAGGCTACGCTCAAGCAGGCAAATACTTAAAGCAGCGTATATAAGGTGTGGAAAATTAAAGCACTTACAGTTAAGAGAAATTTTATATTTGCAGGTGCAATAATGTTTTGTACATCAGAGGTGTGGAAGAAGAGGAAGAAGATGGAGAAATGAGAGAATAGCTGTTTTGTATATCTGGAAATAAACTTTCTTTTTTTTTTTTTCTTTTTCCATAATTTTGTAAGAATGTGTTTACTTTTTTTTCCGTTGTATTTTAATATGGGGGAAGTTAACTCTTAAAAAGGTCTCTAATCTTTTATTGGCATCCAAAAAACTAATGCTGGAGGAATAAGCAATTACTTCAATTTAAAACTGAAAATATTAGAATGAAAAGTGAACACTTGAAAACAAACAAACAAGCAACTCCCCCCCCCAACTTTTACGTATTACTGGTGTCAACAAATGCCATTACTGTCAAGGGAAATATCTGAATTTAGATGATTCCTGCAATAAATTAAATCTTCAAAGTTGTGTACTCCAAAAGAAAACAGAGGGTTCATTCCTGTATCGGCTCAGTTTAGCATCGGTGTCAGTACGCTGCTGCCGGGAAGTCACCCTGAATGCAGACTGGCGTGCAATGGAAGGTGGAGAACTTCCCATCGTGTGTCTGTGACTTTGCTGCTGCTGTCCTTCCAAGCTGAATCGCTGAGTAGATCGCGGGAGCTGCCGGGACAGCCTTTTCTCTAATGACGATAATTCGGGCTGTAGCATGAGCAAGGGAAATCTTTCCAAAAATAGCCTGATGTGCCTACTGCGGGGTGCTGCTGATCTGGTAACGGTTCCTTCAGCTCTGAGTGGGTTAACGGAGAGAGCGCAGCTATAATGCTTTGTAGCCTGATTTCAGTAGAAACTTAAGTTTCACCTCTAAGTGAAAAGCTGTAAGTCATCTTCAGTATTTGCAGGAGCCTCATATGTAGCTGTCTTCTCTGCGTGAGCGGCTGAAGGCTGTGAGCAAAATACCAGCTATCTTCCCATCTGAAACACAGGAAAATACGGCAGTCTGCATAGTTTACGGTATGTACGTAGTTACTATTTAAATACAGTCTTTAAACCTGTTTATAAACTATTTGGAAACAGTTGTGGAGGCTTCACTGCAGGTGAGATGTGGAGATGTGGAGACCCCAGCGTCTCTAAGAAGTTCTGCTGCTTTGGGTCAGGAAGCTTGAGGGGGGTGGCTGTACCACCATTATTAAGGACGGACAAATTTGTACCGACTTTGTAGCTCGTACCCATGCAAACAGAAGCCTGGCCACTATAAATGTCCATAGACTTCAGTGGCATTAATAGGGCGAAGACAACGCACTGCAAAATAGGAGTGTGCTTTCCCAGTCTCTCTCATACAAAGACAGTCTTTATTACCGGAATGTTACAGTTTTGGCAGGAACGCAATATCCGTGGTTTCAAACGTTAAGAGTAAGCACCGGGATTAACTGAATGTCCCTTACCTATCGGCGCTGCTTAATGCAAGGCCCTGGCTCTGCCAGTCTGGGAGGCTCTGACAGAGCCCAGCATCGCTGCCTGTAGGAGGCGGTTTGGAGGAAGCGTTATCCCTGTTTTATGCACGAGGAAAAGAGAATTCCTCCTTTATCCCTCTGTGATCTCAAGAGTGGAGCTTCAGAGAAGATAAAAATTCCTTTGGTCCTGCTTTAGATGTGGCCATAGTGGGGAAAAGGGAGAGGAAGGGACCCTTTTCTGCTCTCTGCAGACTCCGGCCCCCTCCCTGACAGGGTTCGTGCAGGCACCTTGCACTGAAGCCTGAGATGATACGGAAAAAAGTTTTTATGGAAGCCTTCAACATGCCACGGGTCGCGTCGTTAGCTTGCTTGGTTTGCGTACGGAGAGGAGACGGCAAGCTAATTAGGGAATAAAGCCAGCATTACGGCTGGCTTCCCATCTTGGGTTTAAACACCTCCATGAAGCGCCGGGTATCGGCTTTTAGTAAACCACGCAAAGCAGAGGGTGACCGGGTCCTGCCATCGGTGTCCTGGAGGCACCACGGAGAGCTCGGTGCCAGCCCCGACGCCGTGCATCACCACCAGCAGCGGTTCGGTGCAAAGGCTTCTGGAATAAGGGATCAACACGAAGGACGCCTATAAACTCAATCTCATACCTCAGCATATTCACAAATGAGTTTATCTTTCAGGTTGAACGCCATTATTTGTCAACTATAGAAAACCATCAGCGTTTTGCGCCATTTAAAGTGAAAGTCTCAGAGACAAGTCAGTCATGAGTGTAATTCCACACCAGTAAATGACCCCGCGGAAATCCCTGCATGCAGATCTCGGCTCTGCTACCTGGCTGCCCAATGCGGTAGAACCCTCTGAGCGCTCTGGCTTTCATTCATTTGCTTTCATACTAAAATTCTACGTTTCTTCAGTCTGTAGTAGCTGTAGTGTACAGATAGGAAGAAAAATGATAGTTTATCACAAAGTCTAGCAGTCCCTTTAAAGGTGAATATGGTTCCAAATTTTTTTTCACCATCCCCTGAAGGACAAACAGTGGAAAGAAAAATCTGTGTGGGCTGTTGTGTTTCTGAAAGGCCCAGTAAAATCAGTAGCTTTCTGCAGAGGGACAGCATTCTACACAAAGACCTTGGCCTTAAAACCCGTATCTAGATGAAAAAAGTCAAAATTCTACAAAAATCTACGCTAAGATGAATAATACAAAAGGAAAGACAAGCGGACTTACATTTTGCAAAAGCAAGAGCCCAGTCAGAACGGAGAAAACAAATACATTTTTCTCCTGTAAGCTGTCTCCCTCTGTCAAAGACCGAGATCCCTGCTTTACAGTCTTGAGTCTTTACTTTCAATGAAGGTGTGCTCCTTTCACGTAGCTTCAAATTCTTTTGAGATTTTTTTTGTTATGCATCTACAGTTGTTTTTTTTTTATAGGTACATTCATTAGACTTTGAATGCAGAAAGATGCTTTTATTTTTGCATAGCACCAGGCATCAGATGCAGTGACTGAATAATCCCATGGCGTATAACTTCGTAACTAATCTTAGTTCTTATGCCCACACGCTGCAGAGATGCGTGCCTGTGTTTATCTTTGCTACCATGAAGTGTTCCATTCGTTTCAGTTGGAGAACCCACGCAGGTCAAGTTAGATAAAGGCTTAATTCAGATTTTGGTCCTAAATGGTGTGAAAAGAGTTGCAATACAGATGAAGGCAAGGTACTCTGAATATGTCAATGTAATTGGAGCTGGTCCTTAGTTGGCACCGAGTAAGCACCATGAATACAAACGGACTTTTCCTTTCTTCTGGAGCCAGTCTAAAAGGGAGACAAATTGCAAACATTCCCTTATATTATGGATGTATTAAAGATACAAATAAAAGGGCTCGTGATTTTACTTTTGAAATATAAGGTATATAAAGTAACTAAAAACAAAATGCTTTCATGTGTTTAAGTTGTTCAAATTGTTTATAGGCTAAAAGAAATCAGAGACAAAGTAGTAGGACACTTCATAGGCAAAAGATTATACCCTGCAAAACTACTTACTAAATACAGTAAGAATTTACAGAGTCAAAAAAAGCCTAGAAAGATATATATAGCAAAACTCGAGACATACAACACGTAGTTTTGAGCTCACTTTTTGTGTTACTCATTTAAGTACAGGTTGTTTGCTGTTTATTTTTGACTTGGAAACCTTCACATTCCTAGGAGTAGCCAAAAAAAGAGTACACGACCCAGCTGAGAAGCCCCTGAATTCTTATTGTTGCTAAGAGACAAAATGCAGCAAACTCTAATTCCGTCTGGCACAGATCACTGCAAAGCATGATGAGCCTTGGCCATGAGGCCCGATGCTGGAATGACACCAGTTCCTGTGTCTGGCTGTGTCCACATCCTCACTCCCGACGGGACACGCGCGCACACGAGCTCCCCTTTTCCCCTTCGCTGTAGTTTTTGTGAAAAGGCAACCCAGAGGTATCGGTTGGAAAGGTTACGCTATGCTCAGAGAGAACCGCAGACGGCAGTGTTCCCCTCAAAGGTCCCCCCATCGCCCCCGGGTGACGGACTTTGCCAAAGAAGTTATTAAGACAGAACCCGGGAACAGAGGGAGGATTCAGAAAGCTCATCTCAGCAAACGCAATGTTTCCATGGTTTGAGAGATGCAAAGTTTTTCTCATTAGGAAAAAGAAAATGCAGAATGACTTCATTGTTACTTTTGCAAAGCTATGCAAAAAATAGTTGTAAATGTGATGTAAAACTTAATCTGATATGAGGGAAGCCAAGAGTACATAATGAAATTGCAATTTAGTCTGGGTCAATTCCACAGCTGAAAGTTAGGTTCACCCATGTGATGCCATTTCTATGTTTGATCCTGAGGGTCCAGCAACCTCTGTTGCTTTTGTAAACAGGGAAATACCATCCCATAAATTTCACTAACAACCATATTTTCTTAAGACATGCACAATATGCTCCTTTCAGGACATTTTATCATGCTATGTGTATTATTATAAAGGACTATTTAGCAAATGAAAAGCCCTAATGTACAAATTTAAGGAAAATTTAGCCAATATTTGGCCTAAGACTCACGTCCAACCTTGGGCCTTCTGTATTTAATCACATGTTGTTTACAGCAATAAAAATTCTGAAGTAACTGACCGTGTATTTGAAAAGATGTTACTTGAGGAACAAGCGTATCATACACTCACAGAAAGCACCAGCAAACGTTCTGCGATACTGCCGGGGAGAGCCGAAGTCAGCGGCAAGAACTCCTGGAACCTGTAAATCGCCATCTACCACCTCTCCTGTCAATCTTCTGCATGCGTAGCGAGAGAGAATGTTTAGGAGGAAGATGGAGATGACGTCGTGGTGCAGTATTGAGCCCAGGGAGCAGCATCACAAGGTAACACCTGACGCTATCATAGTTTTGCTATTAAATGCAAAATACTGCATTTTAGTTGCATCCCTTGCCTCATTTGAAAACACGATGTGAGCAGAAAGGCTCAACGAACCAACATATCCATCTGTTTCTGCTGTACAGGAATGTGTATATGCACATAGGCATGTTACAAGCATTTTAAATCGATCCTCCTTCTAAAAGAAAAGAAGGTGTATAAAGAAGATTACCATCACCAGAAAGGTGTTCGAGGGACCACTTATTTAGAAAGACACTCC